TCCAATCATTTTATACAATACTTTGCATTCGTTCATACACACGTATCGTACTTTAATATCTAATTTTAAAATGCCAGTGTTGTTTATTTTCATTTTAATTCTCGTTGTATGTGTACTTGGTGCCCCATAGTTGGGTCACGCTGGGGGTCCGCTCTGCCATTAATCCGGCTCTGGTTGAAATGCATCAGAAGCTCGGAATTCGGCGCGCGTCAATTCGCGCTTTCCGAGCGCCCGACTTCGCGCGCGGGGCAACGACCACACGAACGCGACCAGCGCGTCCGCGGATTTGCACGCCTTAACGGGTGACACGTCCGCGGCGGGCGTTGTTTTTGTTTTTTTTTTTCTCTGCGTTTGGAGGGCGGCTGGCGGGCTGCCAGCGCCCGTCGCCCCGCGATGTGTAGCTGGTGCGATGAGCGACGTGGTGTTGACGTGGCGTTGCAAGCGCGCGTTGCGGCGGGAAACGCTTGCGGTCCGCAACTTTTGTGTTGAACATTCGCGAACACTTTAATCGAAACGTTTATTGGTTTTAGTTGTGTGTGCGAGGTCGTTTCGCCGTTAGTAGCCATGGGCTGCCGATCGTCTCTCTTTCGGTCTTTTCATGGATGTTGTTTCTATCACTACGTCGTAGTTCATCGTGTTGTGCCTGTTAATAAGTTGCTGAATATTACTTTCGTTTTTTTTGTCTTGTTTTATTCGTTGTTTGATACTGTATTTATTTCTCATATAGAAATATTGCGCGGTGCTCCGAAGCGAATGACCTACCGGGCAATAGCTCAAATGCTAGAAGTGGATTAAGCGGGAAATTAAATTTAAATTTTTGAATTAATATAGCGCGAGCAAATGCAAGTGATATATCTGCAATCGAATTTAAGTAAAATTGTAAACGTTTAATTTGAAATATTCAATTTTTATTTACAAAAAAATAGTCTATGATCGGCTGAACAAAAGTCTATGATCGGCTGAACAAACTTTCAGCTTACTCAATTAATGCCTACTGATGACAAGGAGAGTGGTAAGCGATATTTCTATCGGTACTGGCTAAAAGATTTTCTGGAGGTTGATGCATGGCTTACATTAATCGGTCATTTATCATTTAGTATTCAATATCGATTTTTTCTATCTTTTAATTCAGAAATTCCTCGCTGGCTGTCACCGTGCAGGGTAGGTTTTGTAAAACGGCGATGTCTTCCTGGAATCGAGCTTGGGAACACGCTTGTGAGGAATTGACACGATTTCCTCGTTTTCTCGGAATTTTTTATTCGATCTACAGATGATATCTGTGTAGTTTTGTGCCTTGATTTTCACAATGATAATCATTTTCAATGTGTTATGGATAATACGTTGAGGGCAATTTCTTTTATTATATTATTTATTATAATAAATAATTCCTTTTATTATATTGTATCATTTTATGCATTATATATTTCACATTAGTATTTTTTCGATTAATTTCAGAAAGTTCTGGAAAGGAGTCAATTCGGGGATATGTCTCCATCGAAGAGAACAGTGTCAAAGCGTAGAGATTCGAATATCATGGACACCCGATTATGATTGGAGTTTCATGTCATTGTTACGGTCATTGTCAAGGTTATATTGTTGCAATAACGTATTTTCTGCTTCCCACGTCTCTTTAGTTAGGAATATTTTACAAATGTTTTACAAATTTGTACGTAGCTTTCAGCAAAAAATGCAAGTTGTTGGGAAATGGGGAGTAGAATATTTGTTATATTTTCACTTCGATTTTGAATCGATTGAAATAGACTAGGGAATGCCTGTTGCTCCTAAGTTGGGTCGCCATTGAAAACATTCAAATAATGTTTTTGCTTGGCATTGTCGGTTTTGGTGTAGTGAGCTCAACCTTGAGAATGAAACCTTGCAAACCGGAGTGTGGTTTCAGGGTTATCGGATTTCATAATCAACAGGTTTTCTCCTCAAAGAGCTGTATCCTTCGAGGTTTACGAATCGTACGTATCTATAACGAAATGCCTCTAGTATGACTAGTATGACTAGGGTTTGAAAATAGGTTCGCATGTGATAAGATTGCATTGCAGCGAAATGCAAAAGACGTCATTGCGATCTCGAAGTTACCTTCTGTTTTTTTTTTTAACTTACATAATTTATTTCATTGGATTGTAATGTAGGCGAGGCGTAATGGATATATTTATCCTAGGAGATGTGAGATACTTGTCGTTGAAACTAACATTGATGCTGTTTCTAATGATCCCACTTCAGATTCCCTAAACAAATGATAATGGACTGTCATTAAAATTTAAACTTATTTATTTTTAATAATGTAGACAAACAGTGATATTTAATTTATTAGTTGAGTACACGAATGAATAAAAAATTCATTCTGTTAACAAAATTTAATTTTGAACTTTGGTCCCGTTCATTTAAGTTAGAGATTCTTTATCAAATCATTTCATGTCAATTCAAACTTTAAATTGAGTTGTGTGTGAATTTCTCAAGATAGCGATGAAATATTATACACTATTTCCTATCAGTTGTGTTTAGATTACCGTGTCAATTCCATTGGTATCTTCTTATTAGTTCTGCATTATCGTCAAAAACACGTACGTCCCTTCTTAATACTTAGTCATTCGTCCCTTCTAATTGTGTCGTCAATCTTAGTCAAGTGTGCTGTGATGGTTAGTATTCCACATTGGTTAGTCAGAATATGCTTCTATATTACTAAATTGATGCGCACACCGGCTTATGTGGCTCAGGACATCAATAGATGACACTGCAGTGCATCTGACCGGGGGGGGGGTTCCTAGGGTTAGAATCCTGACAAAAGTAGGATTTTCGATACTTGCTACGTAGCTACGTCGAATTCAGACGCTGTGTGGAGGAGGGTTTTAACGGCCGGCTGCTCTGATCGGTAGTTTTCCGTGGTTTCTCCGTTTAATACCAGGCAGTATCCTTAATGTTTCTTTCCTTCGTCTTCCTTTTCCTATCCTTACTTACTCATGAACTTGGGGGGGGGGAGAGGAAGAGAGGGGACCTGATAATTTTTTGTTCAGAGGAGTCTTGCTTGAATATTTAGATTTTTCCTCGTTCTTTTGCTTGCTTAACCGACGCCTCATCGCATGCGCAATGCAATTTGCTTATTCCTCAGGCGATACCCTCTTAACCGCTGAATTATTTCATACTTCAAAGTAGGTGAATCGATGTAATCGACGATGAAACGCGATCCGAAGATGGAGAAAAAACAACTGGAGTGTACAGTGGATTGCTTGACATCCAGGCAACGAGTTAGAGATACAGTATCTCTAACTCGTCGCATCCAGGTGTTGGTGCGTGCCGCCAAAGTAATTCAAATTTGGCGCCACGCTTCGAAGAGCTCATTTTCCCTGCTATTTGAAAAATTTAAGATCATACATTTCAAACTTCCCGCTTTGGAGACCTTGGGTCGAGGAGCGAAAAAGCAGAAAGCATGAATGACGTGAAATTCGTAAGGAGAAAGTTAATTTTCGTCAGAGATAGATGTAAACTTGACAATCTTTTCAATACTCATTCATTCTCACAGCAAAGTAATACTCTTTGTCAATTATGTGTTGCTTTTTTTTTTCAGAACTCTCGTCTGATGAGAACAGAGAAGGCCGTGCATAAAATTTCTCGTTGCAGTTTCTGCTAATGCTCTCCCTATGTATCTGAGCTATATTTTGCAGCCCCAACACCGGGCGTCATTCTACATTTTTAATATGTATTTCAGTTAGTTTGAGACTCCTTAGTTTGCTGGCCAAAACCTTTTTACGAGACACCCTACGTTACCTACTTTGCATTGGCAACTTTGTTCCCAACTCTACCTGCATAGTATATTGAAACTTCTGAATTTGGCTACCTATCCTGAAAATCAAGGTGGCTTCACACATTCGGCATTCGGCTAGTAGCAAGCGACCGCACGCGGAATCTCAAATTGTCGAGATGCTCAAAGAATTTTCGCTTCTTTTTTTCCTAGGATTTTGTCCAGTCAAAAGCCAGTTACCCTTTTACCTCCCGAAGGGACGCATATTCGACCATACACTAGCCATCAACGCAATTTGCGGGCTCTTCTGATATGAGGTCGTCAGATCGCGAGGCCCACCGCGACAACACATACATGAGAGACAAGGGACTAACGATAATGCCCAAGGCAGGACTCGAACCCGCGACCCCGTGGACCGAAGCGCTGAGTTGGCACTCGTTCTTAGCCTTCTTGGCCATCCAGGTCGGCTATTCGTTTCTTTTGATGTGCCCAATAAACCGACATGCTGCGCATAGAGCGAGCGGCGAATGTTCGGCTTTCGGCAAAAAGCAAGCAACCCATCCCCATCCACACTACTTTGGCGAGCGGTTGCTCGCAACTCGAAGAGTGCGGAGCCGCCTTTAGACCTAAATATTATATAAATATAATAATAATAGAAAGAAAAATATTCAGCCTCCGCCCATGTGAGAGGTTTCGTCTGATGTCAGGAATTGGAAGAAAGAAGAGTGGAAAATGCAGAACAATGGAAGTTTCCACGATGACTGAAAAATGCTAATATTTGATCATATTTTTCTAACCGTTCTCATATTGCGCATACCGACTGAATTTTCATTTTCAGTCCGTTACTGCTAATGTCACAGTGACATTTGGGCTCCAAGGAAAGTAGACCCTAATCTAATCTATGTAGTATGTAATGCCGCCTATCATTAAATAATTGCTATTCACATGTTGGGTTATGAAACAACAGTTTTATTGATATTTGTGGTATATGTGAAGAACGGTTGTACTGCATAAACACACTATACTATGTTATTACAGCATAGGTGAAGGTGTTTTAGTTAAAATCTTGTAATTTATTGCAGTGTGCTAGGAGGGTATTTTATTTGCTCCTGATCAGCGTGCGTGCTACTTTTGGAAAGCTATTTGGCATGATTTGTATGCGTCGCTCGCCTGCCCTTTGGTGAAGGCAGGCAGGCAGGCGTGCAGGCGGGCGGAGTAACAGCGTGCGCGCGCGTGTGTGTGTGTGCGGCAGGTGCGCGACGGGGCCGGCGGCGGCGGCGGCTGCGTCGAGGCAGGCGGGAGCGGCGCGGGCGGCGGCTGCAGGATGGTGGCTGCGGCGGCGTCGGCGGCGGCCGAGGGACGTCTCAAGTGCAGCTGACCCGGCGGCGCCGCGGAGGGCAACATGAACGGCGGCGGCGGCGGCGGCGGCGGTGGCGGCGGCGGCGCGCGCACCCCTGCGGCGCCGCCCGAGCGCCTCGAGCCGGAGGTAGGGCGCCTCCCACCCGCTGCGCTGCGCTGGCGTGCGACGCCGGTAACCAGCCATCGATGTTCGAATTTAAAACATCGCGTGTTAATACATTTCGTAGGTTAACTTCTTTTAAGGGTGATGGGGAGCTGGTCCAACACCCAACCCTTCTCCTTTATCCGGGCTTGGGACCGGAAACGGCGGCCGCTGAGGTACTCGATCTCTCCAGTGTTAACCGCAGACGAAGTTCAAACATTGCTAAAGATGATCAATAAAATGGTCTTGAAATGCTCTAAAATAAAAGAAACATTACGTGAAAAATTGGATCAAAATCAGTTCAGATGAAAAACTCATGCTGTTGGATACGTTACTTAGTAATGTTGTTATTATAGCTGCTTCTTCCTTTCGCTCAAGTGAAGTCAGCTTGCAAACTTTTGGTTTGAACTGTTTTTTTGTCAGCAAATCTCTGTATTTACTTATCCCGAAATCCGCTGAACCGACAACGTCGCTGATAGTTGTCACGGAAACCTAAATTGCATATTCAGAACGGCTGACATTACAGTTTCTGAGCGAAGAAATCGAATAGGAGACTCAGTAATTCTGTGAAGAACAATTGTTGCATCTCCTAAATATTATTTGTAGTAAGTAGCATCAGGGCTGCCAGATCCCGAGGGGAAAAAGCCACCATCGGAAAGACGAAAATCCGCCTGACTCTGATAATGCGGCTGGTAATTTGAAATTTGTTGCACGTTCGTAAGATGTTTAAATGTTCATACCCTCTTGCATATAGTCTACTCGTCATAAGGCATTACTATTTAGAAAATAGGACAATTCTTAGAAAACGTTGATATGATTGCATTACTGCTTAATGAAATTTAAAGGAGTCTCTGACATTTCATAATATTCGTATATAGTATTATATTCTCGTAAAATATACTCGCACGAATAGCCTCCCTCGTACGAATCCGCCCTCGTATCTACATATGTGCAAAATGTTCCAAACTAATGTTGTTGTGTCTAGAATAAAATATTTCAGACGCCATCAACGTTCTACGATTATTAGCAGAATGTGGGTACTATTGGTGATTGGAACAAAAAAAGCATCGCGTCGCTCGAAATCCACCCACAAAACAACCGATTCCACCTGTTAGGCGGAATCCCGCAAAATTCATTTTCCCTCAGCAAGTCGACGCCTTTTTTTCCCGCCCAATTAGCGAACTTCCACCAAATTTCGCAACCCTGCATAGCATTAAAATGGTATTAAAATCGATGAAATCGTCGGCAAAATGACGGGAAAAGGTAAAAAAATGACTTATTTGTCGAAATCGACGAAAAAAAAAAGGAAAGCCATATATAATGAATCATTTGCTTTTGCCTTATCAAAAGATTATTTTATATATATATATATATATATATATATATATATATATATATATATATATATATATATATATACTAAATGGCATTGTTCTAAACTGAAAAGAAAAAAAATGACGTTTCATTCAAATCCGCCCGCCATTTATAATAATACATCGTCTACAAACCATCTATGTTTTTAAACATTGATGTGACCGTGTTTATTCATTTATAATTAAGATTTAAATGAAAACAATTTTAAAAAAATAATAGCGACCGCCGCGCTGCCCGCGGGCCAACTTTGCTCGTGACGCATGTCAGTTCTAGAGCTCAATTTGTTGCGCACAAATTCATCCAGAACACACGTTTCGTAGAAGATTTTCTTTGCTTCTAATTTTAATATTCATTTATTCAGATGAAGTTGATACACCATTTCAAATTACTTCCTGTCCTCAATGTCACCTCATCCTCATATATTCCTCTCTCGTTATTTCTTTAGCTTTCCATCCTAATTTTCATATCACCCCTTTTAAATCTTCGTCTTTTGTAGAATCTCTGTATCTTAATCATTCATCCTCTAGCGTTTACTGATCATTCCTCACTCCACCTTTCTTCTTTCTTTCCAAGTAAATCTTCTGTCATACTTTCTTTTTCACAGGTTCAGCCATACCATTCTTCCCGCATCTCTCTCGTGAATTATACCCTTTTATCTCGCTGCCTCCCCGTCTTCTACTCATCCCTTACACTTATCTAATTCACATGACATAACCACTTTTCCTTAACTCTACTCACTTGCCCCCCAAATTTCCCTGTTAAACTTATCATTAGACCTGCTATACATTCTTCTTCCTTATGTCTCGTATTCCTACATGTTCCTCTTCCTCAAGATAGAATTCCCAAAGAAAATTTTGACTTGAATCAGAAAACAGATAAAAATTAAAATTTTCAAAGAGATGGAAGGAATTAATGTATACTTTTAGACTTTCCTTACTAATAGGTTGTTTTCCTTTGGACATTGATTCTATCAAAATGTAACAGAGTATACTTATTGCTTCGCCACCAAATTAAATACTCACACCAAACATTCAATTTACTCATGTAAGGTGTTTGTATCACGTTTCATTTTTTCGAGTTTGTTCTTCATTTCACGCCCCACCGATTTTCAATCGGTTTCAAGGAGAAGTCTCTGGCCATTCCAGTACTTTGATTATTTTTCTTTGAAAATATATGAGAAATTTTGTTTAAAACCTTGACACTGTGCTAAATCAACGCGGAAGAGGAGTTCAATTTCTTTCTTAACTAGTGATACAATTATTTTTCTAGTTATTAAAATATAGTTCACTTTTTATAATATTTTTAACAGGCGCCAGTATTCCTTGACATTCGTGAGTAAAATAACCCTAGAGCATTCCTTTAATTTAGGTACTTAGGCGCTGTAGCAAATGTTTCCATAAAATATATTTGTTCGCTACCGTACAACGACTGATTCTTATGTAATATTTTCTTATTCAAAGTCCTTATTCTCCACGTTTTTCAAACTACACATTCTCATTTACAAATGACTTGTAATGTCGCTAAAACCGAACCACTTGCCGATGAAACTGTACCATATTTTACAATTACAGTACGTAGAACCCCGCAAATCCGAAATTTCTGATAATCCTAAAAAAAATTGAGATGGAGGCAAAATAATCAAAAACATTTACGTTAACTGATATATATTAACTTAATTTATAAACGAAAAATCATGAACACAGTGTTAGTGAACCCAATACTGTACGTAGAATACTAGTTAACAGCAGTGAAACTGTGCTTCAACTCGTCTAAACAATATAGCTACTATTACCACATGCAATCGGTTATGTACGTACTGTACTCCGTTCACAATATTGCCACTACATGTTGCTACGCTACTTTGCCATTTTCGCACTACCACACTACATTGCATTGAATCTTGTAATCTTACAAATGTAGTATTACGTATAGTTGGTGTATGTACGTTACATTCTTTCGAGTAATCCGAACAGACCACACCTCCAATTAGTTCGGAATACCGGGGTGCCGGAGTACGGTACCGGTATACCGGAGTAAAGTACCGGTATACCGGAGTACGGTACCGGTACACCGGAGTACGGTACCGGGGAGCTCAGAGCTTGTGCCGGTTGGGGGGGTGCCCCAGCAGGTTGGAGAAGCGCTGGTCAAGGGAAAACCCCGCTAGCAGACAGCAGGTCGGCGCCGATCTTCATCATTCACCGGGGAATATCAGCGCTACCTTTTCCTAAAGATTGAGAACATGCACCAACACTGGTATGGATTAACGACCTAGCCGTGACGCCCGAATCACTAATCAATGAAATCAATCAAATGATGACCATTCATTCGTATAGGCGTTCCTTCCTGCGGTCCCTTCATTACCGCGTTTAACTATATTATTACATTGGTGCTCAATATATACCCTTAAAGAAATATAAAATTATGAATTTGTACAAATTGCATCATTCGTACCATGAAAAGTACATCTGAAAGATGGACAATCATTCGAACTAAATCAAATTTTCATCTCGAAACGCTGAAAAAGTCAGTGATACGCTCGTTGCCACGAAAAAAATATTTAGTATGCGATCGAGCACACCGTGGCCCACTGGAGCTCAAAGGAACACCGTCACTTACCACGGTTCTCCAATCACTTAACCCGATTTACACGCGTCCCTTTTCCACGAACGTTTCGGTATTTTGACGACGCCGCCGCATGCGGCCACAAGGGCTTCTGAGCGCACGAAGCCACTGGGCGCTTGCACGCATTCCCGCAAAACCCCATTACTGCCCTTAAGTGACTTCCCCTTTTTACCCCTGTGCAGGCTATGATTATATTATTTCATTTTCCCTGCGCGGTCTACTCCAATGATCATCTGTCCCTAAGAGTACCTCCAATGTTAATCACGGTGATTAAATCGAGCGCCGACCTACACAAATCGTCTAGCGGATTCTCCCCAACTAGGTTACTTAAACCCCGATAGTTCTTATAGTAACCCGAACTAATAGAGCCCAAGCCAGCTTGAAGCGAAAAAGCTCCAACATGTGTGTGTGTTTGTACTGCATGTAAGACGCGAGTGTAAGCATTTCGCCTGCTGTTGATTGGCAAAGAAAACCACGAAACTGCCGTTCAAAGCAAGCGGCCACGAAAATTCTCCTCAAAATCCGAAAACTAGTTAGCTCGCTAGGTGTAAATCCGGCCACGTTGAGTTCTGATCCCTAGGACACAGAGACACTGCAGTGAAATCCGCCGACTTCCCTAGTTTGTAGACGTTCAGTATGAATTCATGTCCTTTAAGCTAAGTGGATACTACTTATTTGCAGGTTGCTTCCCCTCTCTGCATCCCTACTCGACGGACTGCGATATCCCCTTGCCAATACGCAGTGCCAAATTTAACCCCGATTGGCTACGACAAAAAAGAGGACGGCATGTAATCGCCGACAGCCAACAGTGGTAAGACGTCAAAAAATGAAACTTGAGCCGCCCCTAAATTATTACCCCTAGTATAGGCAAGCCGTCGCTTAATGAGCCTGAATCGCACCTGCCGTTGAAGCTTGCAGCTTGCGCGCCTGCTCGTTGATCGCACAACGTGGGAACAACGCGGGTGGCTTCAGATTGCAACCGGCGCGCC